CCCCAAAACCCCAAAACCCCAAAACCCCAAAACCCCACCAATAAAAGCTAAATGGAAACTAAACAGAAGTTATCAAAAGAGCCGAAGACTTCTAAAAGATGCACTTTAGGGTGGAACTGGGGATTTTATGACTTGGATGATTCCAAGTTCACCTTCAGGGTGAATAATCAGGAATGATTCCATATTCCGTATCAGCACATTTCCATTGCCACGGCCAATGGCAAGAATGAAGTGACTGTGGAGATCAATAAGGATGAAAAGACCGCTACGCGGTCTGACATCCTTACTGAATGCAGATTCTTCGTCCCTAATCCTGACCTTGACGAGGAAGAAAAGGCTGAAAAGGATGGAGTCAAGGAAACAGATGAGATTGATATAGAGGAAATTGGCAAAACACCTGCCCAGATTGTCACAAATCGTATCATTAAGAAGGCAGGCATTGGGGAGTTCTCAGGCGATATCATTACATCTATCCCTGAATGTCCCATGCTTATTCCCAGAGGGAAGTACAGCCTAGAGATTTATGAGACTTTTGTGAAGTTTCATGGAAGGACCCATGATTATAAGATCCTTTTTAAGGATATTAATAGATCATTTTTGTTGCCTAAGCCTGATTCTTACCACTTGATTTACATCATTGCGCTGAATAATCCTATCAGGCAGGGTCAGACCACACACAACTATCTAGCGATGCAGATCCAGAAGGATAGTGAGGTTGCCATTCAAGTGAACCTCTCTCAGGAAGAGATCAACAAGCGCTATCAAGGAGTTGAGCAAGAAATGAAGGGAAACTTGTATGACATCATCGCGAAGATTTTCAAGATGATTCTTGGCATAAGTATCATTGTTCCAAGCGGATTCTCCAGCGCTGAAGACAAGGAAGGAGTAAAATGTAATGTGAAGGCTAATGAAGGGTATCTTTACCCACTGAAAAAGTCTCTTTTGTGGATCCATAAGCCTGTGTCCTACATCAGACATAGTGATATCCAGCATTGTGAGTTTGCAAGGGTGTCTGAGTTTGCCTCTCACAGCAGCAGATCCTTCGATTGTACAATTGTGACTCATAATGGAGATACAATAACATTTTCAGGAATCGACACGCAAGAATATAAACCAATTTCAGCATATTTCGCATCGAAGAAATTGAAGGTCAAGAAGATCGGTATGGAAAAGGTCATCCAAGAAGATGATGGAGAGGAAGAAAATCAAGAATTAGCAGGCGAGTTAGAAGAAGACTCCAATGATGAAGATGATGAAGACTTTGTGGTTGGAGATGAGAAGGAGGAATCCCTCCCTAGTGACGATGATCTCGTTGATGAATCAGATTAGAATCAACTTAGACTAATTTGTTGGGGTTTTGGGGTTTTGGGGTTTTGGGG